GTATAATAAAAACAATGAAAAGAAATTGCTGTTCTTTTATAATTATCTTAAAGTATGGCCAGAATTTTTGATTCCATTAGCAAATTTTATAAATTCTTCTTGCAATTCCGCCGTCCTCTATCTACATAATTTTTAATATAACTATTTTTATATAACTAAAAATTATGAAATCGTTATAAAATATCCAATTGACAGTCGATTAATCGGACAAGTGTACAGTTTTCTCCATCTTCACATACTTTTGTCTTAATCCTTTCAGAAGCAAGCAATTATCTATTTTTTATATTGAGATAATCTATGTTTTTTCGCATCGATAATCAACGATTGATAATCGTCAGTAATTGTAAAAAGGCCCCGTCATATAAAGAATGTAGATTAAACGATATCGTGATTTATAAAATGTATGCTCTAGCTGATGCGCTTTTAAGAATCAAGAATCATCAATTTCCTCTGTCTCCATTCTTACATCTGCCTAATGGATATACTCAATTCTTATTATTAATCCGGCTGCCAAGCGTATCGATCGAATCATAAACATTCGATATCGTCACGATGATTCATGAATATTGCTTTAAATTGAAGACATAAGTTCCTGCCTATCAAAATTTCCTTGTCAATCGCGCGTAGTTAATGATATAAAATCGATTTTTCTATCCGAGAATAAGCTCGATTCGCTCACATTCCGTCGATACCCTGATGCATGATCGCTCGGCAATCCGGAGATTATGGTAGATTGATCGATTCGAAATGGCCTTTCTTTACAAAGGATTTTTTATTTAAAAAAGTGTTATAGAATATAATATGGCAAGAAAATTATAGTTTACAAATACCTGCATTCTTATTATAATTGTTCCGTTCCAAAAATATCTTGCCAATTTTTATGATTAGAAGGCAATTTTATTAAAGAAACTACGTTCTTAATTATCAAAAAATATGTTATTCACAAAAATGTGCATACAAGAAAATAAAATTGATAAAGAGAAAAGTGATATTTTATGATTACTTAAATATAATAGGAGCATCTTCGAAAGTACCATTTCGAGTAAATCAGCCTTAGATTTACTAGATAATTATCTACTTATATATTGTCGGGTAATAAAAACGACTCGCTTTCACGGTGACTATGCTCTTCCAAAAAGGGGAGAAGTCGCTATTGTTACACTATTCACCGATCGTTGTGGTTTTCCCTTCCCTCCCCTTGTTTGTACGAGTAGGCACTTAGCTATGTTTCTGTGTTTTTGTTTGTATAACATTATATCTATTGTATACATACGAATAGTATAAAAGATTGTGTCGCTGGATCTGTTTTTTCGTGCCTTGTCCGATGCTGAATGTGAAGTCCATAGATATTTTTTCAAAAGTTATATTATATAATTATATCATGTGTGAAAATAAAAATAGATTGTTATATCTAATATAATTGACAAAAGAAAAATCAACGTAAAATGATAAAAATGAGAAATGCTATTTTAAAATTATATCGGAGAAATCAATTTCTAGTGTCAATGCAAAACCATACTTGCATTTTCTTGAATAATGCTTCGATGAACAAGTTGCACGATCAACATCGGTGACTGCTCCCATTGTTCCATCGCATTCACTCTCTCATACATGCGTTTCTCATGTCAGATCCACGCATGCACGTACGAACGCACGCACTTCGAAGCGCACATCGGTTTTGGAACTCTTTTAATTAGCATCATGTGTTTTCGTGACTTGTGAACTTTCATGAATGTATGTCCCATTTCTGGAAGCTTCGCGCGATCGTCAACAGGAGAGAGATGAGCATCTACGATCGTTCATCCCGATTCTTTCATGCGTAAAACGGTTAATAGATAATTGCGACTTTTTTTTTAATTACGCAAACTACATGTCGTCCTCGAAATTTCAACATGTTTTCAGTTCAATTTCAAGGCGCATGGAACGATCGAAAGATCTCCACACTATGGTGCGTTTCGCCAATGACACGATAACGATCGTCACGAGATTAATCGTTTCTATTTAATCGAATCGTCGCAGAATACGGTTTTATATACTTACATAAATATCTTGATAAAAATTAGATAACAATAGTATATTAGTGCGTAAAGTTAAAACGTGTTGTTGACAATAGAATACTGCATATCCCCTCGACATCGTGTTCCGCGTGGAGTATGCTCGCTCCCTTTTTGTTCTCCATTCAATTTCTTTTGCAACGTTCTAACGTTCTACACGAAGACGAGCACATCGATATGCGCAAGTGCGACGTGCCTAAAAACTTCGTTGGAAGATCGTGCTCCAACGATAGTTAACGTACAAAAGTAAAAAATACTTTAGTAACACGCATCTTTTCAAGACGTTGCGACGCACATATTCTCATCACGCTTCATCTTTGGATTGGAACACGATCTGACAAGTCTTTCTCTCAAAGTAGCTTATATAAAAGCTCGACTTAAGAAATACGCCGGCTTAACTTTCGTTATTTTACCGCTCATTTACTTCCTCCTCCTTTTGTTCTAGAAGTCATTATAGACGTACTCAGTCTTTATCCACAATGCTCAATGCACAGTTTGCAACATACGCTGTTGAGCAATAAACTGGAATTCACATTTTCTAAGATTTCGTTTGTAAATCCTTCCCACTTCCTCTCTAATGTGATACAACTTTATTACTAAATTTTCGAAGTTTAATAAGAATATTGAGATAAATGCACAAATAGGATTCAATTTAAAGAAAAATTAAAAGTAAGAAAATGTCGCGGAGATCACCAGTAACTTTTAGAAATAACACTAGCTTATAACAGATTTCTGTATCCTTCTTTTTACCGTTATTAAGAATTTCCATATCAAACTAAAAATTCGTAATATTCTTTTTGTTAAAAAAATATTTAATAACAGAAAGAAGGTAAAAATAATTTGTCAGCAAAAATTCTCTTCATAAACATAGTGAGTTCAATCTTTTTACATAGTAGTCTAAGATAATTTCATTTTTAAGCGTAAGAAATTTGGAACTAATATCTGTGCATCAGGAATGTCTTATACTGCAGAATAAAATAATTGATTCTACAATCTATCATCGTTCAAATTAATCGAATTTATGAATGGCAGCAAAATGAATGAGTTTATCAGTTAAATCAAATATTATCATCCCAAATGGCGATTTGCATAATGTAATATTCTGTTGTAACAAAAAAGAAAAAGACAAAGATTGCAAATAAGAAAAAAGTATGTCTTATTCATAGC